CGTATTTACGAATTACAGGATCTGTTCCTCAGGGGTCACATGGGCTTGGAAGGAGACCCTGACTCCTTTCTTTTACCAGTTCCATCTATGTGACGATAAGTCAAAGGTCCTGCTCAACCATGGCTGGCTTCACTTGGAAGCATGGAGGAAATGTTTCCTCTGAGTTGACCCTCCTCTTTGTAGACTGGACACTGGTTCAAGTCCATCTCGTGGGGTCTCCATGGCTCCCTGAACAAGAGGACAGGTGACTCACTACAGTTACAGGACATTTTGAGAGATGTTCCATAGTCCCCTGGAACTTAGTTGACCTTGGAGGACAAGAGACAAAAACTGTCCTTTTAAGTCCTGCTGACCACATTAGTATAGGCCTCAAATTATGCCTGTTAAGCATCCAGTAAGGTTAGCTCCACCAGTCTGGTACTTTTAATTACCATGTGCCATGTAGATAAAGCTTGGGCAAAGATCAAACGCTCTCAGATAAACCTTGCCTAGACATATATTATATTCTTTGATCTAGCTGTATGTATAATTTGTCAATAGATTGTTGGATTAATACGGTTTTCTGGATTTTTAAAATGAGGAAGGCATTATTTATCTCTTGTATTGTCTAGCCCTTCCACCATGGTTTCCCCATTTAAGGTGCCCCCATTTTTCCCATTTCTCCCTTAATAATACCCTTCTCCTATGGTCCCAAAACATTTATCACTTGGTTAGGCTTTCTCATTTTTTCTATTTTGGAAAATATCTCCATTCCTGTATCCTTTTAGCATCTTTTACATTCATATTTTCTTTTAAGAAAATAATGATGAGACATAATAGCATTAACAAATAAATTTTCCATCTGTTGTGAGAATTCTTTCCCTGGGGATGCTAAGCAATGCTTATTCCCTTTTAAGGTTCTAGTGTCGAACCAATGTTTGATTAAAGTTTTACTGGGGAGCCAATGAATTTACTGAGCTTACTTACAGAGATAACTAAGGGGTTGCTGAGGTGTATGAATGATCTGAGGAAAGCCTTTACCCAGCATGAGTCAAGCCTTCTCTTCCTAGTTTTCCCTGGATTGTATACTTTAGCCCTCCCCAAATCCAGGAGACCATGTGTGATTAGGGCCAAATTACATACAGTTGGCTGGGAAGAGTGGCTGGATACTGTGGTGAGGGTCCAAAGACCCTGCTTGGCCCTCCTTTAATGAAGGAGCACATCCTTGTCAACAAGCCCAATTGTGACGATGTTTAGCGATCAGGCTCAGCTAAAGCTGTGATGATGGTAGTTATTTCATGTAGAAGAGACTGCTGTACAGCATCATCTTATTAAAAGGACATGGAATTTAAAAGGATTTGGTGCTAGGATCCACATATGAGGGAGAACATATGTCCTTTATTTTTCTGAGTCTGTGTTACTTTAGTCTAACAGTTTCTAGATCTATCCATTTACCTGAAGATTTGATTATTTCATCTTTCTTTACTGCTGAATAGAACTCCATTGTGTAAATGAACCACATTTTTGTTAACCATTATCCACTAGTCAGTTGAGATACACTTAGGTTGCTTCCATCTCTTAGCTATTGTGAAAAGAGCAGCAACAAACATGGTTGTACAAGTGTCTCTGAAGTGTCTCTACAGTAGGATGAGTCCTTTGGGTATATGCCAAGGAGTGGTATAACCGGGTCATGTGGTAGGTTCATTTTTAGTTTTTTAAGAGTTCTCCACGCTGTTTTCCATAGGGGTTGCATGAGTCTGCACTCCCACCAGCAGTGAATGAGCGTTCCCCTTTCTCCACATCCTCTCCAGCATTTGGTATCATTTCTTTTCTTGATCCTGGCCAGTCTGGTTGGGGTAAGATGATACCTTAGGGTGGTTTTAATTTGCATTTCCCTAATTACTAGCGATTTTGAACACCTTTTGAGATGGTTCTTAGCTGTCTTTATTTTCTTCTTGCCAGGCTTTCAACTGATCTTTTTTTTAAAAAAAGATTTAAAAAAATTTTGTGTGTGTATGAGTGTTTTGCTTACATATATGTAAGTATACCACGTATGTTCAGTGCCCTTGGAGGCCAGAAAAGGGTTTCAGATTCCCTCAAACTGGAGTTATCAGATTGTTGTGATCTGCCTGCCATGAGGGTGCTGGGAACTGAATGTGGGGCCTATTCAAGAGTAGCAAGTGCTCTTAACCTCTGAGCCATCCCCCAGCCCTCAGTCGGCTTTTAAAATGGCTTTTTTTGTCACGGAAAATTCACATATACACAAAAGAAGTAAAGGGTCCAGTATAAAGACTCCTACTGAACCTGCACTCATCCTCAGCAATTATTAACATGAACATCTTTGTGAACAAGAGACTGGAACCTCCTGGGTCTCATGTCAGTGGAAAGCCACAGACAACAACAAATGACATACAATGATAGGACCCTCTGCAGAGTCCTAGGCTGTGTGAGGAAGGGAGTACCTGGGAAGACTATTTAGAACATTTAAGTCAGAATCTTCCTAGTAAGAAAAGAGGAAAGCCCCCCACTCCACCCCGTGTGGAGGCAGCATGCTCCCTGTGTGTTCTAGGGCACCAAGGGGGCTGTGTGCTGAATGAGGACAGTGGGACTGAAGGGTGGAAAGCACAGGGCAGCCAGATGTTGAGGGCCTGGTGAGCCCTAGTTGGGACTTGGGTTTGTGCCTGGGTGAGATGGGAGCTGCTGGAGGGACTGAACAGCAAATTCAGACTCAGGCTTACAAAGGGTCAGAATGGTTTCGAGGCTGGTGAAGCCTGTGCCATGAAGGAAAAGAGAAGCAATGTGGGGTATGACCGAGATGGACCAGGCTCTCCAGGCACAAAGGAAGGAGTGAAGACCAGAGGAGAGAGGGGAAAGGTACTGGGCTGCCACGGCTCCACGATTGACCATGGCAGATCTGAACCTGGAATCAAGCAGTGAGCGATGATGTCAAGCAGGATGTGGGGTCATCACCAGTACTGGCTTATAGACCAGGAGCAGTGTGTTTAAAGAATGGGATGCGCCTTTAATCTCAGTACTTGGGAGGGAAAGGCAGGCGGATCTCTGTGAGTTCAAGGCCAGCCTGGTCTACATAATGAGTTCCAGGACAGCTGGGGCTACAGGGAGACCCAGTCTCAAAAAGACCAAAAAAAAAAAAAAAAAAAAAAAAAAAAAGAATGCGATGCAGTGGAATGGTATACCGTGGGACTGAACAGAATGGACTAGGAGGGAGGCTCTCAGAGCCAGCACCTGTACCAAAAGTCCGTGTCATGTCATGTTTCCCACATACGTGTCTTTTTTCTAAACCGTGTTATAAATCTTCTGAAACATTTGAATGCTGTGAATTACCAGCTGAGACTGAGGCCATTTAGGAATAGGGAGACCAGGAGCTAAGAGAAACACAACTAAGTCTTGTCAGATCCCTCAGTACTCTTTCAAGGAGGCCCCAAGTCTAGGTTCTTAATGACCTTTCTGGAGTTTTGCATCCCTGTGCAGATCAAAGCCCTTCCCTCTGTTCTTGGCTGGGAGAAGGAGCTAACTTGGTGGAGGTCTTCAGGCAAGGGGGATGTGCTGGGCTAGGGACCTCAGAGTGTCCTCAAGCTGGAGACTTGGCTGCAGCTGGGAAAGTTGAGGGACACACAGGAGATTGTCAGATATAAATATATATATGGGGCTGGAGAGGTGGCTTGGTGGTTAAGAGCACTGGCTGCTCTTGCAGAGGACCCAGGTTCGATTCCCAGCACCCACATGGAGGCTAACAACTGTCCTCAACTCCAGTTCTAGAGGAATCCATTGCCTTCTTCTGAACTCTATGGGCAATGTGTGATGCAGGTGCACTTACATACAGGCAGGGAATACACTTATACACATAAAATAAAAAATAATAAAATAAAAAAATGAGACAGGGTCTCCCTGTAGCCCCAGCTGTCCCGGAACTCACTATGAGGACCAGGCTGGCCTTGAACTCACAGAGATCTGCCTGCCTCTGCCTCCCGAGTGCTGGGATTAAAGGCATACGCCGCCACGCCCGGCAAAATAAAGTATTTTAAAAAACAAATATACGTGTGTGTGATACACACTTTTTTTGTATCACAAACTATATGTTATGATCTTATATAATATTATGTAGTATGTGATATTATTATATTAAGATATTATAATACAATAATACATTCCACTACTATTTTAAAATGGTTGTACAGTATAATATTTTAACTATATTAATATATAAAAAGAAAAATAAAAGGTATATGATATATCATTATGTTATTACTCAGTTTTATGTGGCTATAAACAGAGTGAGTGCTTTAGCCTGCGGGAGCACCACAGCCCTGTGAGGCCTGTGGAGGTGTGTGGCTTATGCAGGGACAGCACAGAATGGGGCACATGGGTTGGGATCCTGCAGTTCAGAGCTGCCATGGTTCCTCTCTTGGAACCTGTAAGTCTGTGGCTCTGCTGTCACCATCCGCATTTGGCCCTGTGTAACCCTTACTGTCTCTGCTTCCCCCTGGGCAGCCAGTGAGCTGCCTGTGGACAGAGACCAGGGTGTGCTAGGAAAGCCACGCCAGGGCTGAGGGCTGAAGGTCACAAGCATTTATTCCATCATTGCAGGGTTCGAAGTTCTCTTTCTTGGGCTGGAGAGATGACTCAGTGGTTAAGAGCACTGGCTGCTCTTGCAGACAACCCGGGTTATATTTCCAGTACCCATATGGAGGCTGACAACTGTCTGTAACTCCAGTTCCAGGGGAATCTGATACCCTCCTCTGACCTTCTCAGACATTGCATGACTCTGGTGCACTTATATGCAGGCAATACACTCATACACATAAAAGTAAATAATTTATTTTTTATTTTTATTTTTTAAATTTATTTTATTTTTTTATGTGTATGCATGTATTGCCTGCATATAGGTAAGTGCACCCATGTCGTGCAGTGCCCATGGAAGTCAGAAGAGGCTGTTGGATCCCATAGGACTGGAGTTACAGACAGTTGTTAGCTGCCATGTGGGTGCTGGAATTCGAACCCAGGTCTTCTGCGAGAACAACCAGTGTTCTTAACCACTGAGCCGTCTCTCCAGCCCCATAAAAAAAAATTTTTTTTTTTTTTGCTCTTTTTGAGACAAGGTCTCCCTGTAGCCCCAGCTGTCCTGGAACTCACTATGTAGACCAGGCTGGCCTTGAACTCATAGAGATCTGCCTGCCTCTGCCTCCCAAGTGCTGGGATTAAAGGCGTGCGCCACCATGCATGGCTTATTTTACCTCATTTAAAAAGAAGAATTGGATTGGCTGTCAGCATTACGAGCCATTGCTGCCTGGCAACCGAGGTCAGAGTGTTTGCACTCCAGCATTCATTTCCACCCTGTGGCCACCTGTGTCTGTTCCCAGTGCTGGGACCAGTAGCATTGCAGGACAACTAAGTGTCCAAGGTGGAGGAGGCTCAGACCTGCTGGGACACGATGCACATTGCACAGCCTCGGGAGACGTGTCTGGCATGTTGACTGTCCGTCCCCCAGGGCTCTGGGCCCTCTGCTTGCTCCTCATGCTACTGTCAGTGTGGTGTCATCAGCACACTTCTCCGTCTTGTCTTTACCACGGGGCCACCCAGAGAAGGACATGGCTGAGGAGCAAAGCTAGGGCCACACGTCTGCCTGCAGCTCCTGGGAAGGGAGGTGCTGACCATCGACTGTCTGTTCTCTTGTCCTCAACAGACCTGCGGGGTCGACTTTGAAGTCAAAGCATTTGCCACAGACATCATAGATGCTGAAGAGGACAAGATCCCGAAGAAGTACGAGTGCACGTGTGGGAGTGGGGGAGGGTCTGGGCGGTCAAGAAACCGCCCCACTGTACGTTGGTGTGACAACTCTTCCCACAGACTCTGTGAGGCTGGGGTCATACAACCTCCCCAGGTTAGGGCAGTCAAAGACTGAACCATGTGCCATTTGCGTGTGTCATAGAGGTCGATGGCTGATCATGGTGGGAAGTGGGGAGAGGAAATAAAATGACAGTAGATTTAGCAACCTCAGTGGCCCATGAGTGCCCCCCCAAAGAAGGTCCCTTCTTTCCTTTTTTTCTTTTTCTTAAATTTATTGTTTTAGTTTATGTGTGTTGAGTGTTTTGCTAGCATGTTAAGTACATCACATGCATGCAGTGCCCACAAAGGCCAGAAGAGGACATCCGATCCCCTGGAACTGGAGTTATAGTTTTTAGCTGCCATGTGGGTGCTGGGAACTGAACCTCAGCCCTCTGCAAGATCAGCCAGTGCTTTTAACCACTGAGCTGTTTCTCCAGCAAACCCCTCAGCCATTCGTTCTCTCTCTCTCTTTTTTTTTTGGTCTTTTTGAGACAGGTTCTCCCTGTAGCCCCAGCTGGCCTGGAACTTGCTATCTCAAACTCACAGAGATCTTCCTGTCTCTGCCTCCCAAATGCTTGGATTAAAGGCATGTGCCATCATGCCTGGCTCAGCCGTTCCTTCTCATATTCTCTCAGGCTCAGCATGCATGTCTCATGGTGCTGTGTGTGTGTTGCTATGGATCTCTCTCGTGACACTGTGCATATTAGGCAAGCACTCTACCCCTAGTCTATGTCTTAGTGTTTATGATTGTGACAAGGTGCCACCTTTACAGGCACTCTGAAGCCTGGTCATATAAGGCACGTGACACAGCCTCACCTAAGAGGGGGCTGAGGGGATGTAAGAGAACTTGAGGGCATTACTGGCCCAGTATGTAGCTCCTGGAGTCACAAGAAGGGACTACAGCAGGACTTCTAGGGTCTCCCGCCTCCCTTAGGAGGCCTGGAATCCTGGCCCTTTTCTCCTCAGGAGCTCTGTGCGGTTACTGATCCGGAAAGTGCAGCATGCCCCACCGGAGGTGGGTCCCCAGCCCTGTGCTGAGGCATCCTGGCAGTTCTTCATGTCTGACAAGCCCTTGCTCCTCTCAGTCTCCCTCAGGAAAGAGGTAATCCCCCTCCGAGTTAGGACAGGGGCCTGGAGTTCAGGCCACTGTCCCCTGACTGTGTGGACTCCTTGTAAGTCACCTTGTTCCTACCATAGTGAAGGCATCAACGACTGTACGTGGTCAGCTTCTTTCATAAACTTGGAGCTAGTCCCCATGGCTGCCTTTGCACTTGGCCATTGCAGTAGACTGGGCAGCTGCATGCATAGCTCCTCTCCAGCCAGCCTCTCCCTTGTCCATTCCCTCAGCCTCACACTGTAAAACAGTATTGCTCAGTGGGCTCCATAAATGGTTCACTTCCCTGGGAAATTCAGATCTTACAGACAGCTCACAGGGCAGCCATGTCATAGGTGAGGTCATCAGCTAGGAGTATCATGGTGGTCGAAGGTAAAGAGCCACTGACCAAGCATCAAGTCAGTCATGTACAGGTTAGCCAGAGAGCCCCGTGTAGTGTGTACACACATGTGGGTGTGCCTCCCCAAGGCTGGTAGCCCAGGGTGCTGGTGGGGAACACTCTATCAGCTAGCTTTCCTAGCACTTTCATTTATCCCAACCCCCTAAACCTCCTGTTCTGTGCAAGGCCCCGGGGCCTCATGTGGTGTCTCACTTGAAACCCCATTGTTCCAGTTTTATTTCTGTTGCTGTGATTAAAAAAAAAATAATACCCCAACAAAAAGCAATCTAGGGGAGTTTATTTCAGCTTACAATTCCAGGGGATAGCCCAGCACTGTGGCAAAGTCAGCAGGAATGTCCAGCAGCTGGCCACATGACATCCACAGTCAAGAGCAGAGAGATGAACAGTGAGTACATGTATGCTCACTTGCTTGTGCTTAGCTCAATTTCTCCAGGCTGGACCCCCTGTGTCGGGACTGGTGCCACCCCCAGTGGGCTGAGTGTGCCCACATTGATAAACAATAAAGATACAGGCCAACCCAACACAGACAATCCATCACTGAGACTCCCTCCTCAGATGATTCTAGGTCTTGTCAAGTTGACAACCAAAGCTAATTATGACATCCATATCCTGCTTAGCCCCCTGTAGATAGTGTTAGACTATGTCCACATACTTCCTCAGAGAAAACGTTGTGATCATTTTACTGTCTTTAAAAGTAGGGGAATTCACACATGATAGATAACATCTGTCCATAACTCCAGTTCCAGGGGATTCGACAGCCTCTTCTGTCTTCCACGGGCATTGCACAACACGAGTGCACTTACCTACATGCAGGCAATACATGCATACACATAAAATAAAAATAATGAATAAAATATTTCTTTTTAAAAGTAGGGGAATTCAGTCATATTTATTGTAAGGAGATTGAAAAAAAAATCTTAATGTCTAGAAAGACCTCACACTAAAGATGCTGCCGCACTTGACTCTGTTCTTTTCTGACTTAATGCTCCCTTTTCAGATCTATTTCCATGGGGAACCCATTCCTGTAACTGTGACTGTGACCAATAACACGGAGAAGACAGTAAAGAAGATCAAAGTGTTAGGTAGGACCTTTGGCTCAAAACCTGGAGGGCAAAGTCTTCTAGAATCCCTCAGCCTCATGCTGTTTTCCTGTGGCCACTTTGGTCTTTTAAGGCCCTGCTTCTCCGTCCTTAGAGCTGCTTGCTGCTGTTGTCATTGACAGCAGGACCTAAGAGGGAGAATGACCTCAAAAGTCATTACATTCAGGCTGGAGATGTAGCTCATAGAAGTGATTCATAGGTGGTGAAGTGCTGGCCACTGTCTCACCTTGAATGCCGTCTAGTAAGGATCAGCACTATCATGTGCTGCAGTCCACTGGCCCCCACTGTCTGTTTCCATACATTTCCTCAGCTCAGAGCCCATCAAAACACATGTCTTGGGCTGAGCATGGTGGTGAATACCTATAATCCCAAAGCACAGGAGGCTCATGAGTTTGAGACCAACCTGGGCTATATACCTAGACTTTGTCTCAAAAAACTAAAAGAAAAAAAAGCAATGTGCAGGTCTTTCATGGCTACAGGGTTACATAAAAAGAACATAATGGGGGTCTGGAGAGAGGGCTCAGTGGTTAAGAACACTGGTTGTTCCTGCAGAAGACCTGGGTTTGAATTCCAGCACCCACATGGCAGCTAACAACTGTCTGTAACTCCAGTCCCAGAGGATCTGACAGCCTCTTCTGACCTCCGTGGGCAGTGCATGACATGGGTGCACTTACCTACATGCAGGCAATGCACACATACACATAAAATTAAAAAAAAAATTTTTTTTTAAAGTTTAAAAAGCTAGAGATGTAGTTCTGTTTATAGCCTGCTTGCTTGCCATGGAGAAGGTCCTGGGTTCAATCTGTAGCATATTATTTAAAAAATGGGGTCTGTCCCATGCAAATGAGAATGGTTGTTCTGTTGTGGTGTGAATATGACCACTGAAAGCTCCTGTAGAAACTTAATTCTCAAATTCAAATGCTAATGATATTCGCTGGTAGGACTCTGGAGTGATTAGGGTTAGATGAGGCTGCACAGGTTAGGACCCCTATGACATTAGTGGCTTTATAACAAAGAGACCTAAACTAGCATAATTGCCCTGCTTCCTTTGAGGCCCTCTGTGATATTATAATGAAGTAAGAAAGCCCCCCCAGAACAACCAAGCTAAATAAACCTCTGGGGTTTTTTTGGGTTTTTTTTTTTGTCATTGTTGTTTTGTTATTTTGTTTCTTGGGTTTTGCTGTTGTTTATTTGGCTTTTGAGACAGTCTCACTATGCAGCCTTGGCTGGCCTGGTACTCACTATGTAGACCAAACTGGACTTGAGCCCACAGAGATTAACTTGTTTCTGCCTCTTAGTCCTGGGACTTTTTTTTTTTTTGTCTTTTTGAAACAGGGTCTCCCTGTAGCCATAACTGGCTTGGAACTCACTCACTCTGTAGACCAGGCTGGCCTCAAACTCAGAGATCGCCTACCTCTGCTTCCAAAGAATGCTGGGACTAAAGGCGTGTGCCACCACCCCTGCCTGGCAGTCCTGGGATTCTTAAAGATATGTGCCAACACACACACCCTATCCCATTCCTTTTTTTTTGATTCTTTTGGAGACAGGGTCTTACTATCTTGACAAGCCTGGAGCTCGCACACGCTCAAGTCTTGTTCCTCAGGCACCATCTGTTGTACCTCTCCGGTGCCGGGATAATAAGCCCATGCCACCACACACGGTGCTAGAGATTGAATTCAAGTCAAGAAGCAAGTACTTTTTTAAAAAAATGTTTTATTTATTATTTTTATTTTATGTGTATGAGTGTATTGCCTGCATGTATGTGGGTGCACCCGTATCGTGCTATGCCGTGGAGGTCGGAAGAGGGCTTCGGATTCCCCTGGAACTGAAGTTAAGGACG